GAAGCTTTATTAATAGACATGGTTAGAGACAGGCAAGGGTCAGACAATGGCAACAGGTATATAGAGGCCAAACACAAGAATATTCCTAGGGCTAGCATGGGTCTACGATCAGCGAACAGAATCAACAGGGCGAGACCCATAGTAGTGGAAGGGTGACCTCTGGTGGAAAGCAGACGGAAGTTCATAGACCGGATTCGTGACACCATTAGCTAGATATAGATTAAGAGTTGTTGTTTTAAAGTTGTAAAAGTACAACTTCGATTAATATTAATTTAGTTAAAATACTATATATTATACTAATATTCTGTTCTGTAAATGCATTGTCTGCTGGTTTATTTAGCTACTTTTCAGCACACCACATTAAGTATGCCACTTAATACTTTAAGACTTTGATTGTTAAAGTGCAAATTAACACTTGACCACTCTTGTAAGTTTACAACTGTTACAATTAAAAATCACAGAAGGGAAAAAACATGCCAGGCAGACATAGGTATGATGTAAGCAACACAGCAAAACTGATAATGGGTGTGTTAGATTTATAGTGTGTGAATAATCAAGCTTTGACAATAACCAGTCACATTGGCGGCACCGAGGGGCCCCCAAATAAAATTCTGCTTAGGGCCCCATAAAGGCTTGGGTGCAAATTAACACCTGACCACTCTTGTAAGTTTGCAACTGTTACAATTAAAAATCGTAGAAGGGTAAAACATGCTGGCAGACAATGGTATGATGTAAGCAATACAGGTACAACAAACAAAACTGATAATGGGTGTGTTAGATTTATAGTGTGTGAATAATCAAGCTTTGACAATAACCAGTCACATTGGCGGCACCGAGGGGCCCCCAAATAAAATTCTGCTTAGGGCCCCATAAAGGCTTGGGACGGCCCTGAGGGCAGCCTATGGCCGATATATGGTGCCGATTTTTTTGGCCGATATGTTTGGCCAATTTTCTTTTCTTTTCTTTTTTTTCCCCCTTCATCTCATTAAAGAGAGTTTGAGTGTTTATTGCAATTAAATGTTTATTGCAGGGCACAAGATAGTAATAGTAGTAGTAGTAATAGTAATAATACATGGCTCAAAACTTAAGCACCTTCTCAAAACAGTTCTGAAGCATGCTTTTTGTTTATGTTTGCTGACAGACACCAGTGTTTCTCACAGACTTGCAAATGCAAATTAATTCACTGCCAGCAGGAGGCGCTGTTGGAGCGGGAGATATAGCGGTTTCCCCGGTAACGGCTGTAATCAAATAAGCACTACTTTATCAGGCATTACAGGAAAGACAAAATGAAAATGATATAGAAGCTATTCTGAAGACGGTCGGTTCTTTTCAAAGATACATTCATATAAAAACACCCGAGCTGCATTTTAATTTTGAAATGTGCAGAGCTCAGTTTATTCAACGAAGTTTAAGACTTTTAGAAAATCTATTTGTGGCTGTCAGTTTTGTTATTGTGACGGGCCGCCACAAATAACTCAGTGTATGGGAAACACTGGACACTGCTATAAGCCAAATGACCATAGTGATAACAAAAATAAAAGAGTTCACACATATTACACAGCCTGCTGCTCATAACTGCTTAAGAGTGCGCTGGCCACGAGCGATGACATCGGACCCACACACACATTTCATGAGTAAAATTTACATGCATCTTTTAGCCAGCCCAAGTTTCATTTGAATTGTTTCTACTTTCACATGCAAATGACTTGTTGCACTTATGAATATGACAAGGACGGTCGGCATCAATTCTAGTAGGATAAAACGTAATTACGCTTTCGAAACGGTCTGATTGCCCGGCCATCGTTAGCTGAAGCTGTGTGAACGAGGCGTGGCTGCAGAGTGTGAGCTGCTCCGTCTCACATGCAGCCTCAGAGGGAGAGAGGTTCTCCGGTACAGCGTTCCACAACAATGCTTGGCTGCCGCAGATGCGCCTTCCTATAAATCAGACTCATTTTCAGCACAATCGGCCGATGACGATTAATTTAAAAATGCCAAAATTCGGTCAATCGGTCGACCTCTAGTCATATTGTCGGCGCCGATAGCCTTGTGCGCAGCACACTGACATACAGTGCCGTTGCGCTACGAGCGTCCCAAGTTCGATTCCCGGCTCGAGGACCTTTCCCGATCCTGCCCCTCTCCCAATTCACTTCCTGTCAATGCAATACTTTCCTATCACAATAAATCTTCAAAAAGGGTTATATTGGCCTATTAAGATTTTGCTTATATCTACCTTGTAAATATATTTTTTGCTATTTTATTCAAAGTTTTCAGAGGTATAACAATTACAATTTTAACAATATTTCAAGTGTGACTTGTGAGATTTGTTGTATTTTGAATCCAATCTTTCTTTGAAATCAGTATGATCAACTTTTTGCTTTTTACAAAGTTAAGAATTCCTTCGTTGGTAACACTTTATAATAACGTTCTGTTGTAAGTCATTTATAAGTGATTAGTTAATGATGAACTAATCATTTACGAAACATGACTATACGTTCACAAATGATTATTAAGAAATATGCTAACGAATTTCAAATCTGCAGTAAGTTATCTTAAAAAAATAGCATCATGAAATAATTAAACAGATCCTTAGTAGATGGTTAATACACTGAAAATAATGATACTAAATTTTGTTTAAGGTAAGTGGTTGCAAATACTTTATTTGAGCTACATTTAAATAAAAAAAATGTTGAAAGTTAGTCAACTAAATTTGTTATTTAAATGTAGCTCAAATAAATTGATTGCAACCACTTTAAAAATTTGAGTAAATTCAATCATTTTATTCAGTACAGCTACTAGTTAAGTTACTATTATTAATCACTTAAATGTCATCATTGTACTATTGTCTCAATAAATATTTGTTAATCATGATGAAACCATTAGTAAATGATCAGTATATAATTTATGCATGTTTCATTAAAGTTGTAAGCTAGTCTGTTAAAAAGCCCCAAAATGCAATTATGCTAAAACTATTTTTTTAAAAGAATAATAAATTATTTGCTGTCAAGTGAATAAACATGTAAATGAGTTACAGTCAGGGGATTCCAGTGGGTTGTGTTAAAGCCTTTCTCTCATCAGCACAGACTTGTGTGTGTGTGGGATCTAGTGATAATGTGAACCGGTTTTACCCTCCACTCAAGTGCACAGCGTTACAATACTCCATGTGTGTCAGAGAAGACATCTGTCTAACCCTCACCAGTCAGCCCTTACACTGCAGTACACACTACAAAGTATTCAAAACCTGTTGTGTAAGCGCATGAATCATTTACAAAGCTTTCTGCATCCCCTAATCTAAAGTGTAAACTATTCTTTACTTGTAAATGTGTTACACATCATTTGAAGATTTTTCTTACCAGTTACAAATGATCTGTAGGTGTATACAAGGCATTTACAACACTTTCTGCATCCCCTAATCTAAAGTGTAAATTACTCATCAGTTGTAAATGTTTTACAAACCTGCCGGTTACAGGTTGTGTGTGTACACACTGGGGTGAAAGATCTACGAATGATGAGTAAAACATTTACAACTGATGAGTAGTTAACACTTTAGATTAGGGGATGCAGAAAGTGTTGTAAATTATTTATTCATGTGTTTGCACAACAGGTTTTGAATACTGTGTGAATCTAGTGTGTACTGCAGTGTAAGGGTGTGACTGGTGAGGGTTAGACAGATGTCTTCTCTGACACACATGGAGTACTTTAATGCTGTGAGATAATAGTACAATGTTGACATTTCAATGATTTATAAGTGAATAATATATTAACTAGTAACTTATTAACCATCTACTAAGGATCTGTTTGATTATTTCATGATATGCTATTTTTTTAAGATAACTTACGACAGATTTGTAAATCGTTAGCATATTACTTAATAATCATTTGTGAACGTATAGTCGTGTTTTCTAAATGATTAGTTCATCATTATCTAATCACTTGTAAATGATTTATAACTTAATCTACAAAACAAGATACAAATATTAACATATCACTTATTAATCATTTATGAACACATAGTTATGTTTTGTAAATGATTAGTTCATCATTAACTAATCACTTATAAATCACTTACAACTGAACATTATTATAAAATGTTAAAAGAAAAAACATCCCAGGTTTCGGTAGTTACATAAAACATATAAAAGACATAAAACACTGCATTAGGGCAAGCAACTATTCACAAGTAGTGTATTACTAAACTGATTGTCTTTTAAGGGTCATCTATATAAGTTCATGTGCTCTTTTGTTAGAGGGAGCTGGGTGTTGGCACGTGCAGAGGAGGAGGAAGGGAACAAATGCCCAAAGAGATCACGAGGTGTCACGCTGTATGAATCTTGTGTGTTTGCAGGCCTGGAGAGTGTCACATAAATTTGCCTTCTCCTGTTTTCAGCTGCTACGATGGCTTATGCATAGCAGTCACGAGGTAGCACTAACTGGCTCTATCAGTGTCTCTCTAGTTCGTCGAGACAAAGGAGTTCTCTTTTCCCTTGATTGGGTTAGCTGTTGTCATGTTGAGAGGAAACTGCTCCAGACAATGAGGGTGTTGAGATTGTCGATCAGTTTTACAACCTTGTGATGGCTGTGTGGGGGAATATTTCGATCCTGTTTTGGGAATGTGTTTATTCTGCAGCTTTTTGGTGGGTCTGTTTTGCAGAGGCCTTACACAATGAAGAACAAAATTAAAAATAAATCTTCCCTAAGTCCCTTCTTAAGCTTCCTGAACAAGAATAGTTTGTAAAAAACCTCTGCTACACATACACATGCTGCATTATAAGACAATTGAAGATAATGTGAAACTCATTAGAAAACAATGACATCATTTTGATCATGAACCAAAATGATATACAAGACTCAAACTTTTTGACATTGTTCTTTGGGGAGGAACTCCATCTTTGAGTTGATCTGAAACTCACTGAATCTGCTGGTTTTGAAGATGAAGATGAACTTTATTCACTGTAAAAACTCGTGTCATTTGTAACGGCTGGTTGGGACAGATTTGTCCAGATGATATTTTATTGCTTGATGCATTATTGATTTTGGCATCAGACCCGAAAGTGATCTGAAGATGATCTACTTGCTGTGAATGTTTTTTGTATGTGTGCGTAGATTAGATGAACGATTGAAATGCTTCCCACATGTAGTGCAGTGATATGGTTTCTCTCCAGTGTGGATGTTCATGTGTCTCTTAAGGGTTGCTGATTGTGAGAAACTCTTTTCATATTGATCACAAGTGAACG